AAACGAAATTTATGATAAACAAAAAAAAAGAATTTTATTATAATTTTAGTAATTATGATCAGTGGCTAAAAAGAAAAAAAAAATAAAGGCTTACCGGTAAGAAGTTAGAAAATACTTCGAAGTAACTACAATCGGGAGTTGTTGGGTTATGTGATAGTTTTCATATCTGGCCAGCGAATGGTCGAAAACGGACAGTCCTAAAGCAGATTTCTATAACAACTAACTTCGCCAGCCAACTCGCTTAATTTTGGTGCCGACCAACGAATACGGAGACGAAAGCCTTATACTTTGTAAGGTCATCCGACGACAACAGACCTTTCTTTGAAAACTTTGATCCAAATGACCCAGAAGTCGGTGAAGTTTCATTCATAAAACAGTTTATTGTAACAGTTTAAAAATTAAAAAAAAAGATTAGTAAAACGGTTCATCGTCTACTATTTTAGTTGTGATTTTTTTCGCTTTGTTTAATCTCAATACATTGTTTAAATACTTTCTCATTGCATCTTTATTAAAATCTTCTAGCAATTGTTCTCATATTTATTATTATTATTATTACTATTATTATTATTAATAATAATAATAATAATAGTAATAATAACTGCAGAAATGATAGCCTTATGGCTGCCATGAAACATGAGCAATAATCAAAATAAGGTTTTCGTGGTACTAACAGAACAAGGCATGAGAAGTATTGAGGATTTAGAATGCAAAGAGGTACAGCATGGAAGATGACCTCGGGCTTGAACTTCCCTGTCAGAAACGAATTTCTGGGCTAAGTTAGGTTATTTTTGAGTGCAATTAAATTCGCTACCAAATGTTACAAAAAGGTCGAAGCTCAAAGTGGGTTTAACGGCAGTATATATATATATATATATATATATATATATATATATATATATATATATATATATATGAATACAAAGAGACAAGAGGAAAAACTATTCTTAGCCGAAGCGTTTCTTCTTCTGAGAGACTTTTTCAAGTAAGGTTGTCATTGGTTTATCAAAGCTTTTAAATATGAGCACGTTCATGAATGTTCATCAGGTAGGTGAAAGCAATTCATCCCGAGCAAGGCAAGAGTGCCACTTGCACGCAAAGGTTTACAGAGGATTGAGAACAAGAGTAAAGAGGCGTATTTTAGGAAAGGAGACAGAGATGGACGGGGAACAAGATCAAGGTATTAGAAAATGTCTATTGACATTACACTTGAATATTTGAAGATTATATTTATCTGGGAAACAAGTAAGGGGAAGTGAGTTCCACAGACGGGAAGTGCTAGAGAAGAAGCTGTTTGTGTAGAAGACACGGTTACATTTAACCGTTTCGACAGTGAAAGGTGGGACCGAGATGCCAGCCTAGTAGCTCGCTTAAATTCATGTTGTCTGGAGACCAGACAAAACGAAAGTAGATCGTCGGAACAATTGACGTGAAAATTCTTGTAGAAGAGGCAGAAGGCAGCCACAGCACATCTGTGAGAAAGCGACTGTAGACTAGTTGCCAGATCAGGACCTATTGCATTACATATTCGTCTTTGAATTTTGTCAAGCACCTCGAGACGTACATCGGGGGAAACAGACCGTATATTACTGCAATATTTCATGCAAGGACGGATGGTTGATTTATAGATAAGAAGCCGCACAAGAAATGCTTTCAGTTTGCATGAAGATTATCCACACGTGTATCTTCAAGCTGTTTCAACTATTATCACTTATTTTCAACTTTTATGAATGACTTTGATAATAAAACTGATGCACTTTCGTTTTTCCGGTGCAGTTTTAGATATGAAGAATATAATAGTATACATCAGTTCACAATAATGACAACCATATTAGATTAATAAGCTAAATTAAAATATCAAAAGTTGTAAACTCCTATAGCTACAACTAATAATAACTCCATAAGACTCATTAAATATAAAACCAATGTAATCAATGAATATTCACCAGCACTTTTCTAAATTCTTTAAAAAATGTGTAAGAGTTTGGACTGTGTCAGTTTTTCCATTGACTTCTATTTATTTCATCATTTTACAAAAGTCTCCACCAGTATCTTTAGACCTGGTGCTAGAAAATCACGAACAAAGAGATTTACCAAATAACGAACGCCATCTCACCCGAACACTTCCAGCAGCTACAACAACAAAAAAGTTAGTAGTACATATTACTAAATGAGAAAGTAATGATATAATCATATTGTTAAATTATCTATTGCCAAAACCAAAATAAAAGCTTGTAAGGTCATCCCATAAGTTCTGTCCGAATTTTAATTTTTTGTTAAAATGAACGAAATTTAAAGAGTATTTTATAATGTCTAATGGAGATGAACATTATTTTTATGTTTAGATGCATTTAAACTGCTCAAATTTTATTTCAGAGAACAATAAAATTAAATTTTGTTTGGTTAAAACCCTGCTAACATGGAAGTACCCAAGAATCATTTGCGGGACATAATGCTTTATGAGTTCAAGAAAGGAAACTCAGCTGCCGAAGTGGCTAGAAATATTCACTCAGTTTATGGAGAGGAATGTGTGAATGAAAGAATTTGCAGAAGATGTTTTGCAAAATTCAGAGGTGGAGATTTCACCCTCGAAGATGAAGATCGAACCGGACGTCCAGTTGAGTTTGATGAAAAGCTTCCTGAAGCAGCCCTTGAAGAAAATCCTGCTTTAGCAGCTGAGGAATTGGCAGTGGTTCTCAGTTCAAACCATACAACTGTTCATCGTCATTTTCAACAACCTGGAAAAGTTCCTAAACTTGGAAAATTGGTGCTTCATGAATTGTCTGAAAACAACCTTAAATCCCGAGTTGTTTGGGGAAAGGATAAAGAGAAGGAGAAGGATCAAGATCAAGGCATCAGTAGATGTCGATTGACATTACATCTGGATATTTGAAGATTATAATTATCATTAGCTGTGTAACCCGTTTTGATCGCGTGTTGAATTTTTGCCGTTCAATTGGAGCAGTTTATGTTTAAAAACAGCCCACACGAAAATCAATATTAGTAACAAAATTGGGTGCAACTGAGGCACATCGCGAAAATGGGGGTTAACAATTTGAATAGTGGAGTGTTACCATCAAAACGACCATTTTGCGTTGAAAAACTTGTAAGGAAGGAACCTCTTCCATGGACCGTCATAATAATATACGATAAGATACGAAGATTTCAGTGTGCGTGGGTGTCAATCTGAGGAGATTGCAGGGGATTCGGAAAGAGTTGGATGAGTATAATAGTGATTACGAAGGTGCTTGGAGTGATCACTAGTAATAGCGAAGTTATGCCTTCATTCATCTTCCCACAGGGCCTCAGATTCAACTCGAAGGCCTACATCAAGGGCAATGAGGAGTTAGTGGTGTCCTGGGTCAAGAGGGTGACTGCTGGAAGACTCTGTATCTCGTAACAGGACACTGCTCCATGCCACACAATCAGGAAACCCATAATGGCTGTCAAACAATTAGTGCGATCACATCACTCCTTACATCTGACCATCTAACTCCCCAGACAGTAACCCCCATGATTATTATGTGTGAAGCGCAGTTGAGCAAGGGAAAAACAAAACTTTTAACACCCAAGTTAAACTGAAGGCAAGGATTATGGCAGAATTCATCAGCTTCAAAAAGAAGACCGTCCAGAAGAGTTGCAGAACATCCTGAAGTCGTCTGGAGGCCGAGATTGAAGGTGATGGAGATTTTATTGAATAAACTTACCCTTTCGTATTTCAAGATAAGTTTGTGTAATTTTGATAAATATATCCGTTAAAATGAGATGTCAGTGTCATATTCATTTTTTCGTAATTTAGACGACAATTTATCCATCTCATCCTCTGAGTGTATATATATATATATATATATATATATATATATATATATATATATATAATATATATAACGTCTTTTCATTTTGATCAATTGTGCTCTTTATATTTACTATAAAATGTTACTTATGGAATGTGTTTTATCTTTTCCATATGATCATCATCATCATCAGCAACATCATCATCGTATTCTTTTTCTTCTATTATAATTATTGTTACTAATACTACCACTCCTCATGCATCTGCATCTTTACACCAGATGTCTGGAGATCCGCTGATGATGTGGTATTAAAGTCACTTAGAATCTCCATTGCAGATATCAGTGATGTTGGGGTGTTTATACTCTTCTTCAAATTGGCAATCCATCTAATCCCATCTCTAGTAATTGTGTCACTGTCTTAAGTCTTCCGGGTATTACTGGTACCCCTCCTAACCTTTATGTTGCGATTATCATTTCCGGTAATTTTTAGCTCAGTTTGCACAATCAGCCTGGCATCTCGAAGCAGCAAAAAGTTGGATTCTATATACATTTTTCTACCTCTGCCTCTCGTTTGTGCTGATAACATTTATTTACCTAACCTTACGCAAGTCATTTAGAAT